AGGAAGGAAGGAAGGAAGGAAGGAAGGAGGGAGGGAGGGAGGGAGGGAGGGAGGGAGACAGAGGAAGAAAGGAAGAAAGATAGATGGAGGCAGGCAGGTAAAATTCTGATGCCAAATCAGTTTCACACTCCAAAATGATTGCTAACATATCACCAAACCAAATCAAACTTCCTCCGATCCCAAAACCTATAGCTGCTTTAAAAAATATCCTTTATAGCAGCCTTGTCCAACTAGGCCTCTCCATGTGTTGGACTAAAAGACCTATGATCCCCAGCCATAAAGTTAGAATGTTGGTGGAGTTTGGGAGTTCTACCCATCAGGAGCGTGTGTGCATATGCGAGGAAGGGGAAACGTTGCTCCATAGCAATTAACAAACACAAGTTGTAGTTCCGTCATTGCCTAAGAATATCTAACCTAGACATTCATCCAGTGGAGAAATGAATATTTTCCCCACCTACCCACCCACCCAAATCATTCCCAAATCTAAGAGACTTCCCTGACACCCCTACCCTACCCCTACACACCACTTGATACAGGATATTTTCCAACCCTCCTATTTAGCCACTAAAAAAAAAAGTTCTTTTTTCAGAAAAAGAGACAAGGAACCCCAATGCGCATTCTCATTCCTTTCCTTCCACGTTTTGGGTGAAAGACTCAGTCGTGTTCAAGGCGAGAGGCCGGAGGGGCACAAATGTCGAAATGTGCCCAGTGACGTCATTGCGCAAAGAGCACACCATGCCTCCATGCATCCGATGCACGGAACAGCCGTTCTGCCCGTCTGCCACACTGAAAGAAGAGATGTAGAAATGCTTCTGGGTTGAGAGTTTGTTACTTTGGTTTTCAAAGGCTATTTTCAGATTGGAGGAAAAAGCGTCAGATAAAGGTGGGCACCTTAAAACTGGAACGCAGAACGCCTGGAGAGGAAAAAAATCCATGCTGTGCCTTTGGATGCAGCCCGAGAAATTAGCTCACTAGCCTAAGGCACTCTTTGCTTTAGCAGGGAAATAAGAGCAGGGAGAAGACCAGACCAGAAGTCCATGTCATCATGCAAGTCAAAAGAAAATGCCCCTCCGAAACAGCGTTCCCAGCTCGATCGGAAACATCTCCCGACCCCAAGGGACGGCGTCTTCTGTTCCGGCTCACATCAAGTCCGTCCGCTGAGAGCAGCTGTGTTAGTCCTGGACCTCTGACGGTCGTATTTGACAGACACAATTAGGAAAAGCAAAAGGGTGATGCCTTGGATCACAGCCAGCAGGAAAAAGTAATAGTTTAAATGGCAACCGTTGATGTTACCTGCGAGGAACACAAGAGAGGAACTAAGCAGCTGTCTAGAGAACAGAAATCAAGCAAATTCATTCTTTACAGATGAAGACTCAAGCCTGGGAAATTAGAACTTAGAGTCTAGAGTCAATTATGTGAGATGGGTGGCTATATAGATTAGATAGATAGATAGATAGATAGATAGATAGATAGATAGATAGATAGATAGA